AACCAGGTAATTTCTTTTCAGAACATCCAGAGCACTAATTGGCAGACGATGCGATTCAAGCTGCCACCTGTGAATAGTAACATTGGATGGCGAGTTGAATTCCGACCCTGTGAAGTACAATTAACGGACTTTGAAAACGCTGCCTTTGGAGTGTTCATTGTGCTCTTGACACGTGCAATACTCACCTTTAAACTAAATATGCTTATTCCTATCTCTAAGGTAAAATACTTGTATTTTATACATATATCTTTTGCTACATTTGATTTTAAAAATTAATAAGTGTGTTTATGAATTTGCTCTTTGTTTTTTTTTCATTCATATATGTATATATTGTAGTTTCTGAGGATTTGTATTGGCATAAGCTAATCATGATATATTGATACAAATTTCAGGAGGGCTCCAACTACAATGAAATATATTCCATTTCCCTTATAGGTTGATGAAAATATGAAAAACTGCCAGAAGCGTAATGCTGTTCTGGATGAAAAGTTATGGTTTAGAAGGGATCTCTTCTCTCGAGACTGTGACAAGGGAGATGATGCTAGTCTGATGACTGTGAATGAAATCATCAATGGAAAGGTATTTGAGAACTTCATTCATATGTTATGGTTGGTTTTGTTTTCATCTCAGCTTTCCATGCAATTTCAACTCATTCCTGTTTGTGCATATAAATGTCAGTGCCATTATTTCAATTTGAGGATCTGTCAGTTTTTCAGGTACCATTTAAAGAGGAGTCTACCAGGCTTTCAGTCATCATTGATTCAGTGTTTGTTTTCATTATGGTTGTTTTAATTGATTAATATGCTTGCAGGGTGAAGAATTTGTCGGTCTCATTCCCCTGGTGCGGCAGTACCTAGGTGCTCTAGACATGGATGCAGACACTGCCTGTACCACTGGCCAGTACCTCAATTTTATTAGTGCTAGAGCTGCTGGTACAGCCATGACTACTGCTGCCTGGCTGAGGAGCTTTGTCACATCACATCCTGAATATAAGTTAGTAGTTTTTCTCATGGTGGACCATTAACACATTGCTGAAAAGTTAATAGAATTTATGAATTTTAGTTTAAGTAAAAATAATTTTCCTGTATGAAAGCTTATGTTTCAACAGAAAAGTTAAAAGAATATTATGCAGTGATCCCTCTATGTTGTCTAAACACCATTTTCTTTTCGTCAGGCAAGACTCTGTTGTAAGTGATGGGATTGCATATGATCTCATTATTGCTGCCAGTGAAATCACTCAAGGGAAGCGCGAGTGCAAGGAACTGCTCGGTGGAACGCCCAAAACCAGAACGTCAGAGGACATCCCCAAAGCCATGAAGAAAATCATACAGATGACCTGCATACCTCCACGCAATGCCGAGTAAATTACAAGACTTTTGTTGAAGCATTAGGGATGATTATACCCGAGGGAACACATATCTTAATGTCATATCACCTTTTCACGATAGCTTGTATGGCATCATTACATTGAGATTGCAGTATCATCATTACTGTGCATTGTATTTTGTGAGTGATGATGGAGAGGTAGATCAAAAATCAAAACATGATAAAATTACCAGAAACAGAAATACATTTGGAAAAAAATGATTGGGTTGAATTTTTCAGACAAGCAGATTTGTGCATTTCATGAACATGTATTTGATGCCTGTAGTGGGACCAGGTTATTCCATTATGATACAAGATTGTTGTTCCTGGGAACCAGAAAAGGATGATATATCTTGAAAAAACATCAGTTTTAGCATAATTAAAAATAGTTTACAGTTGACTGAATTGTGGATTTTGTCCAGCAGTTTCATCAGTCATTCTTCTAAATCTAAGGAAAATTTCTGACTTAATTATCTATTTGAATTTGAAAAACATACCTATATATGTATATGTATATGTGCATGTGTGTGTGTATGTGTGTGTGTGTGTGTGTGTGTGTGTGTATGTATGTGTATGTGTATATATATATATAATATATATATATATATATATATATATATAATATATATATATATATATATATATGTATAATGTATATATATATAATATATATATATATATATATATATATATATATATAGAGAGAGAGAGAGAGAGAGAGAGAGAGAGAGAGAGAGAGAGAGAGAGAGAGAGAGAGAATATATGTATATATATATATATATATATATATATATTAATATATATATATATATATATATATATATATATATATATATAATAGTGTGCGTGTGGTGTGTGTGTGTGTGTGTGTGTGTGTGTGTGTGTGTGTGTGTGTGTGTGTGTGTGTGTGTGTGTGTGTGTGTGTATTGTATATATAATATAATATATATATATATATATATATATATATATATAATATATATATATATATATATATATATATATATATATATATATATATATATATATATATATATATTATATATATATACATATACATATACATATATACATACATACATACATACATACATATATATACATAATATACATATATATATACATATATATACATATATATACATATATATACATATATATATATATATATATATATATATATATATATATATATATATATATATATATAATATATATATATATATATATATATACATATATATACATATATATATATATATATATATATATATATATATATATATATATATATATATATATATATATATACATACATATATATATATGTATATACATATACATATACATATATATATACATATATATATATATATATATATATATATATATATATATATATATATATATATATATATATATATATATATATATATATATATATCTTAGAAGATATTAGTCAAGTTCATTCCAAGCAGAGAATCATAGATATCTTGTAATGATTACTAGTATAAAATTTGTAGACTAATATGACCGAAAAATTCTTACATTTTACGATTGTACTGTGTAAGATATGTTCAAATTAAATGAAAGATTGAAACAAAAAACAAAAAACAAAATATGCCCTTAACAGAAAAGCAGTTTTCAAATGAAGAATTCAGTTCTATTTGAAATTCACAAGTGTCTTGTATTGATCAGAGTGTGATGTGCAGGTAACAGTCAGAATTAAAGAATGTTAAATTTTGTGATGGGAACATAATTGTCAGTTTGTATATGAAACACTGAATATTAGGCATACTTTATTATCCATGGTAGATAAGAAATTAAACATTGCAGAAAGTAATACTGCTTAATATGCTTAACTGTTCAGATGATACTGAAAGTCTTGATGACAAGTTATTTAAAAGCATTTAATGCAAATGTCAGATAGATATCAAACGGATGTTTCATGAAAAAGAAATGTTGTTAAAAATGGTAATGGGCAGAATTTTAGAACTCTAATTGACAATGGATTAATTATCGACAATACTGGAATATTGGTTTGATTTTTTAAGATAAAATGATACTATAATTTGGACTTTGACAGCAATTCATTGCCATATTTTAAAGTATTTCTGTATGCAGATATTTGCACATGTTAATGTCATCAGGTCTCTGATGGATGGTGACAGTAACATACTGATTTTAGAGGATTAAGCAAATTATAGAAATAGTAATACAAGAAAACAAAGGGTTATCAACGAATGTTCACAATAATTATTAAGAAGCAACTTTCAAGGAATTCAGTCACTGCAAACAGTAAAGGAACCACATATGGCTTCTTGTTATGTCACCTATTACTATCAATAGTGAATCTATTCCTCTCTTGTAGACTGATATCTAGCAACTAGTGGATTTCAGTATATCAATCTAACAGTTTATAAATCAGTGTAAATGAACAGATCAGAACAAATTATTTCTGTGTCAGATAGCCAATCTTTTTGCTAATTGAGAATTTTTATTGCATTTCCTTTCCTTTTACATACAAAATTTGGCATATTGTTCAGGAAATTTCATGCAGCAAAAAGTCTGATTTGCAATTATGACACTAAATACAGAATTACAAGTTGTTATCGTCATTGGGATTAACAATGAATACTTCTCCCATACATTTTATTTCCCTTCTGTAAAGCATTTTTTCTTGTTTATTTTTCTATTTATGTTTTTTTTTTCTTCTTTCTTTTTTCTTTTTTTCAATACAACAGTTACAGGTATTAAAAGCAAGCTTGATGTGATATATGTGTCAAGTGAAAAAATAATGGTACATTTGAACTCTTTATGTGCACAATAATCCAAATTACTGAAGGGAAAGTAAGTATTATCTCCTATGGAGAGTTGCAATGGAATCATTTCTTGCAAGTCTGAGAAAACAGACAAAGACAGGACAATCAGGGTTATCTCAATGATTACTTGATTTTCACTCTTGTGATTTCTGTATTGCACTTCATGTTTTTGGTTTTGTGTAACCTAATGGGTCCATTAATGGGTAATGAGTTGTAATTAAAGGAATAATTCCCATTTTGTAGTTATTTAAATGTTATGTTCATATTTGTCATTAGGCAAGTGAAAGTGACAAAGAATATGTAAAATCACCAATATGCATTTGCAAATGAAAGAAATCAGTTTTGCAGAGGTTGGTGTTTTTATAATTTTTGTAAAGTTGTGTTGTGAGATTTTTATAATTCACCTTTTTAGTGCAAATAACCAGCCTCCTGGTTAACAAGAAATAACGAGAAATTACCCTGCGAATTTCAGCCTTAACAGATTTGTAATCAAATAAATCGTTTGTGTATCTGATTAAAGAGAATTATAAACCTGTTGTTTGACTAGATGCAACCATTGCTTATTACTCACAGTTTTTTCCCTCTTCAAGAAAAATAGAATAAGAATAAGATGGTCTTCTTGTGTATGTGTGTACAATTTGTGTATTTGTGTTCATTTCCTGCCATTACATGCAATCACCAATGCACATGCACAACATATAACAATATGAATAACAAGCATAGTACCATAATTCAATTCACTAATTTGTGCCTCAAAAATGACAGCAAAAAAATCAGACTACTGAGTTGTCATACACACACACACACACACACACACACACACACACACACACACACACACACACACACACACACACACACACACACACACACACACACACACACACACACACACACACACACACACACACACACACACACACACACACACACACACACACACACACACACTCTCCCTCTCTCTTACATGTACTCAAACATCATAGATTCATTTGATGTCCTCTTTTTGATTCTCTGTTCAAAATAAAGAATATTTAAATCCTAAATGATCTAGTATGAAGATAGGACATAATTTGACAATATTATTACAAAGACTAGTTAAGGTGTGTTAGGGACATAATATTTCAAAAATTGCATCATCTGAGCAACAATGAGTGCTGTCCAACCCAATACCTATGTTTAGCATTGCCACAGGCCAGGTGTCTGGATAGGTCAATAATGTGCTTTATTGGGAAAGTAAGTTACTTCTGATTAAGATTAGCCAATAAGCATCAGGAGAGAATAATCATAACTTAAAAAATAAAATGTTCAAATTGCACCAAGTGTCTTTTAAGTCATCAATGTCGTATATGCTTGTATGACAAATTTCCAGACACAGTTTACTGCCTGTGTGTCTTACTTATAAAGAAGGTATGCCATTGGTCACCCTGTATGACACTTGCTGATGTTTAGCAAGATTTAACCCATGTATCATAGAAAATCATACTGAATGGTATTGATTTCTAGATAACAAAGGCAACACCAAAATTGATAATGGTAGCTGTTTATTAAAGATGCAGCTTACATCTTCTGGGTCTCATTTCACTCCTTTTCACGCCTCATACCTCTATTCTCTCTTCATTTTCTTTCACTTCAGCTGATGGTCTTTAGTTATACATGCTGCTCAACTTGAGAATGATCTCTTGTGAAATGATTAATATCATGGATATATAAATGAAAGCTTCATAGGTTCTGTGACATGAGTAATGCAGTTTGGCTTCTTCAAATTGTGGTGAATATGTTTCCTCACTTTAGGAATTAGTACCACTAGTTACAAGAAAGCAGATCTGCTTTTAAGTAAGATGTGCTTTTGGAAATGTTTAGATGCAATTATGGTACATAAAAGAAAGAATTAATATGCTGCGTACAAGTAACATTCTATGAGATCATATGAAAGTATATTTACCTTTGGGAATCTATGGAGACTTCTAATTCTGAAATTTTAGTACCAGCATTGTTAAAAAGAGATAATGAATAGTTAGATATACTTTTCTTTCAAAGTAGCATAAGTACTTGTAAATCTACACATTTTAGTGATGACATAAGGGGGCCAATTATTTTCCTTCATTTAGCTTACATTTTCTTTCTTGGGTTTTCAGTTGGGTAATGCATAGGACAAAGTATTTCTTGGAATTGCCAAAAAAATTCAGTTATTACACAGGGTGAGTAAACTATTCCATATTGCTATTATTATGCACAAAACAAAAGTTTTGAGTTCAAACTTAATTTTCTTTGAAAGTCTGGATCATAAGCCCACTGCTTTTTTTCTGGAACTAGGTCTTTTTCTTAATGGGATAAGTAATGCTGATGTTTAGTTGAGTGAGATAAATTACAAAGCAAATATAACTCCCAAATGAGCTTTGAAATTGTCAGGATTTGTAACCGTACCTTTTACATAATGGATCATAGAGTTACTTAGTCAATTGATATGGAGTAGTAACTTAATCATCTGATATTTTATTATCTCCCAATGTTTATTTTTGTGCTCTGCCCCTGTAATGAATATGCCTGTGATGGAATGGGTAAGGAGGCACAATTATATTCCACAACTTTAATAATATAATAATGCATTGATTAACTATATACACTGACAGATTTGTGAGGCTATTACTGAGCGAGCAACAACCACCAGCTTCATTCATTGATGCTCCTGGCTGGACTGCAAGGACAGACCTGGCGATGCCAGGTCCTCTAGACAGAGAGCTGGTTGTTCGGGTGTAGACTTGGTATTTTGGCCTTTATCTTGAATAACCACCAAGATCATCCACAGGTACTACAACCCTAACATAAACACAACTTCCACGACGACAGCCCCCTTACCACCAAAATATTTTTCTACCATCATAAGTAAGTTAGGCCACACCAGTTTTATGTATTGCTTCTTGGATTTCCCTCTTCAATTTTTTGCATTAGAAAATTAGAAAAAAAAGGCCGAACCAGAAACCATTACAGATTTTGCTTTTGCAAACCTGTAAATATTGCCACTATTAGAGAGACATGCTTTTATTAGAGAGCTTCCTTGTAGTCATATGCTAGAGGACAACCAATCAAAAAGCATTTTATTTTTCAAAACAATATGGTGCCTTAGAAGGTTTTGTTGTGTGCTGGTGTGTGCCACTCTAAATTCTAGAACAGTTTTAAACTATAAGGTTAGTTCAGTTTAGAATTTAGTTATAGAGAAGTTTAGAGGATGTAGACAGTAGAGCAGATTGATGTTTTCTTTGTAAAGCTGAAAGTTTACATGCCAAAAAATACAACAACATGCCAGAGGAAAGGGACCTGACAGCACTGTTGTTGTATGGGTTCTTATTTATGGGGTATGGATTGCTTGTTTTTTAAGGTTACTGGCTTATTAAACATAAAAAACAAAAATTACAATAATAGTAGTAAATGGAACACAAGTAAATTCAGTCAAAAGCAATTTTTTATTTGGAATTGTAGTAATAGATCAAAGGACAGGATTCATTATATAAAATGTGCCATGAAAAGCTGAAAATTTGAATAATCCTGTTATTCTTCATGTTCTGTAAGGCCTATATTTTCACCCCAGACTTTTTGTGTTTTTTTTGCCGTTGCTCCATTTTTTTTTTTTTCTTTAATCCAAGAAGCAACAAATAAAATTGGTGTGGCCTTAAGGTTACATTTCATCAACTAGTGCACTGAATGTGGCACAAGTGTCACTGCTTTTGGCTGATGAAATATTGAAGGGCCCAAATATAAATTTGGTTATGAACTTAGACCAGAAAAAAATTATATTTCCATAGGAAACTCAGATTCTGAGGAGTACCTTCCTTTTCATTTACACTTGTTTAGCGCATCTTTCCTCTCCCCCCAAAAAAGTATCATACAGCTGTCATGCCTGATACTAAATTCTACAGCTGCAATTAAATTTTCTTTCCATTTAAAAAATTGCCAATTCAGTCTTCATTATTACAGAACAGTTTCCAAAGTGGTTCATATCAATGGAACCATCCAAGGGAACAATGAGAAATTAAAATATAATAATGATATAAAAAATGAATAATAAACAGGTCAATAAAAAATAAATGTTTTTATTCACATGATCGCTTCCAGTATAGGAAAAGAAATTGAAACTAAAGAAGGAGCAATAAATTTTACTGAGAAAGAATAAAGGGAAAGGGAAAAGGAATGTGTGCCTTTCCATAAAGTATAATATCACTTATCTGATATATTACTTTAATCTTACATGCCTGATGGTTGATGAAGGATCAAGGATTCCATGGAGTCAATGGTTTATAAAATTTGTGGACCCTTCCTATTGACCAAGGATTTCTCATTTCAGAGCTTGTTCCCATCAGAATTTTTCACAGAATACCTATTAGTGTGTTATCTGCTGATCTAATATAGCCTGTTCAATCTGGATATATGAGAGACCACTCCCCATGTCATGAGTACCATACCTAAACATCATAAGTCTCAACTCCTGTGTTGATATTTCATTATAACATTTACTACACAAGAAAAGAATGCTCTAATGCCTTTAACTCTGTATTTACTTTTGTATACACGTAAATGGAAAAATATGAGATATGGAGAGGCTATCATTATATATCAAGAGCAAATATGATTAGGAGGGTAGCTGAAAAAAGTTGACACCATTCCTTACTCATAACTAAATTTTACAAAAACTGAAATCTGTTCACAGTAATAAAGCATGGCTTGTAAAATAAAAGGCTATGAAGTGTACAATGGTTATTGCAAATTCATGGCAAAACAATGTTAGAGCCAAGGCAGTTTTCTTAATGAAAGATTTGCAACTAGATATGCCTGATTTACTTCCCACCCTCTGATCAGTCACCAATTAGCTGACCATGTGACTAGTGGAAGGGATCTGATGTTGCCAGCCTTGTTCCCCCCAAAATACATAATCTGACTATATCTTACACTTTCCCATATCATATATTGATATTAATGTGGTTAATGGTGTATGGGAAGAGTAGTCATGAATTGAAGAAAACATAAACTAGAGAAGCAAATACCATAGATAAATCATGAGTCGTATTTTGTTTTGAATGATCAAACTACCCATCTTTCAATAGAAATAATAAATCAAATAATAATTTAAGCTTTTAGTCAGATTTGTTGGTATTACGCCTTTGGCTCTGGAAGATGTGTAATTCATATCATTACTGACTTGATCATAGCTCCAGGTGATGTGCTAACTCGGGTTATGGCTAAAGAGGACAGGTCATTCATGTCATGTTACAATATGTATCATCATCATCATTGGGAAGCTAATCCGACTGGGGCATATAGCCACATTCACTCTTCATTTTCTACCTACAAGGGTCTCATGGCAAGCTGCCAGGCAGGGCTTCAGCCTATTTCTACCTCATCATGACAGGACTGATCAGTCTGCTCAGGCCATGACTTCCTAGGTCATCTTACTGGCCTCCTCCATCCAGAGTTGTATGTATGCATATTTTATGCTCTTCTTTATAAGATACTCATGCCCACACATCACATTCCCTGGAGCACTGCCTGTGTGAGAATGGGACATATAATGCTCTTACTGGTTGTTATTTTGTATAAAAGGGACGATATTTAGCGCATAAATCACTTGCCTAGTATTTCTAGATGTCACATTCCAAAAAATTGTGCTCTTTTGCTGCTGCTGTAAACCTGTAAGTAACCTTCACTCTAGTTTGCATAATCAGCCTCCTTGTATCAACCACTTAGATTGTCATTTTTTTTTTCAGTTTATTACCAGTATCACCTTTTTTCTGAAACTTGATGATCCAAAGAGGCAAGTATGATAATAGTACATGAGAATTCTGTTAAACTTCAGAATTTATTGGCAAGAGACTTGTTTAGTCTTATAACCATCTCACACATGTATTTGTAAGAGATCCCTTATACAAATGTTAACTTACTGATCTTCCTTGTGTCTTCTTCAGAACCTTAACCTAAATTATACATGTGTTAGTTAACCTTTGCTAATATTTCAGTTTTATTTATTTATTCTTTATAACAAAAGGGATGGGCAATGCTACAGGATGTTACTCATATCAGATATTACAAAAATATATTTTCAAAATTTCTGAATTTGCAGTGTAGAGCAGTATTTTCAAATGTCCTTTACAAAGCCAACTTCTCTGTACTTTCAGAAGTAATTTGACTGGATTCTATTAAAGATAATGAATTGAGGTAATGGTTTATGGTTACAAAGCAATATAAATGTTCATATAGCACTATAGGAACATCCAGTAGGGAAAAGGGTTAAGATGGGGTTAAATTGATGATTAAATGTGCTACATGACAAAAGCAGTTTAGGTAATCTTGTCTAAAGAAAAAGTGGGATTCCACAAGGATGTCCATGGGGTAAGGCAGGGATTAGCAAAAGGGGAAAGGGAGATTAAAGGCAATTAGATCAAAGAGCAGTTTTGGGAGAAATGTCCGGAGGGGGAGGAACCTAGGTAAGTGCACTGTTGTGACAAAAGGGAGTCACATTTGCATCCATGGGGAAGGTGAAGACAGATGGCATGTGTTGGGAGGGAGTAGGAAGAAGGGTGTTGTAGCAAAACATGAGTTGGAGGAGGATGGATGTTGGCAGTTACTTAAGTGTAGTGGGAATTGGAGCAGTGATTGGAAGATACATGACGGATAGGTATGTTATTTTGGGTCATGATTTGATAGTTTTGAATGTCCTGAAGTTTCCAAAAGGGGGTAAGTTGGGGAGGTCTGAGAAACAATGGTTTTCTTATGGGGTGACAGATCTATGAGGGGCAAAAGGAAGAGGTAGATGTAGAAAAGGATGGTGTGGAATAGTTAGATTGTCTGATGTGGAGAGAGGAGTGTCTCGATCTAGAACGGAAAAAGAAATAGACAGAGAGACATGGGGTAGAAGTGAAAATAAGTAGGAGGAAGAGATATGGGGGGTAGAAACATCCTGGGGAGAAGGCGAGCAGCAGACCAAAGGATACCACTAGAGTAAGTAGCAAGAAAAACCTCTTAGGTGTGCTTCCTGCCTGACTTCATGTAAAGCGAGGCCAAATTTAATTTGCTACTCCAGACTTGAACTTGTACGTAGGGTAGCCCCAATAAAATACATTATGGGAGCCACCACAACAGACACATGTCCATGATTATCCAGGGCAGTTTGAACGATCATGGATAGGTTAGGCACATAGAGGACAGAGCTGTGGAGAGATAATGCTTAGCAAGGTGACCAAAATGCCAACATTTCTGACAACTGAAGAGGGGCTGATATGGTCAGACAGGGCAGGATTCTCCACCAACATAAAGTTCATGGCGGTCGTATCTGCACAAGGTAATCTTGGCAATATTGGTGTAGGACTTTTGGTGGCCTCTGGTGGAACAGTATAGCAATGAAGTGATAGTGCATCAGTCAATGAGGCAGGCATTTAGGTCATTTTCACTGTCTGACCAATCCTTGTAATAGATAGGGCAATCAGACGGGGAGATGGAAACAGTTCTGGTACAAAAATTAAGGAAGGAGTAAGGAACAGGTTTGCCAGTAAAATAAGACAGGATATACATCAGTTTGAGACTCAGATATAACTATGTCAAGGCGCCAATGATTGGAACGGTTGCAGAAGGAAATTTTGCCTACTTGTTTTTAGTGACATTGAAATAGGAGGGTATTGTCAGAGTAAGGGGCTGTAGGGGGAATCAGAAAAGATTATCCAACTTAGCTGGGCTGAAAAGAGTACTTAAAAGATTTGCAGAGGTGGAAGTACTTGAAGGTTAAAGATAGAAAGAAAAGGAATAGTACTGAGTGAAGTAATACTATGGGGAGGTGGGCAGTAAGGATGCATATTGGTTATAAGGTTAGAAGGGCTTGAAAATGAAGACTGTGTAGGATGAGATGGAGTGAAGGATGTTTTCTGAAGGTTGGAATGGACTGAGCTGAGAGCAGGTAATTGAGGAGGGAGAAGTAGTAGCAGTGTTTAGTCATGATCAAAGTAGAGCCAGGGAATCAGGAAAGTTAATGTTTGTGGGGCTAGTTGATAAAGGGGCAAGCCTCAATGCTCATATTAACAGTACAAATTCATTATTTGACATGGCATGCCTGGAGTATGGGGGGCAGAGAAATGGTTTACCCTTCAGGGTCCCCATGAAAGCCAAGGGCTAGGTAACTAAATGGGAATGCCCTACCCATGGCTCTCTAGGACCATTTAGGACTGGTGCGCAGCTAGCATTTTTCCTTTCAACACAGTTCTCACATCTTAGGAAGTGGACAGAAGAAAGTTTGAGGAAGAGAAGGAAAAGGAATGGGGGAGAAGAAAAGAC